GTTTATACTGTACTCTATTAAATGTGCAGTAGCATGATGTCTTAGAAAATGTGCATTCCTTAATTTAAAAATAATTTATTGCTAAAAAATGCTAACAATCATCTGAGCCTTTAGTGAGTTATAATCTTTTTGCTAGTGGAAGGTCTTGTCTCGATGTTGCTGGCTACTATGATCAGGGTGGTGGTTGTTGAAGGTTGGGGTGACTGTGGCAATTTCTTAAAATGAGACAATAAAATTTGCCACATCGATTGACTCCTCCTTTCATGAACGATTTTTCTGTAGCATGCAGTGTGGCTTCATAGCATTTTATCCACAGTAGAAGTTCTTTCAAAATTGAAGTCAGTCCTCTCACACCCTGCTGCTACTTTATCAACTAAGTTGATATAATATTATAAATCCTTCGTTGACATTTCAACAATTTCACAGCATATTCATCAGGTATGGATTCCATTTCCATTCCATTTCACTTTCTTTGTTCATCTATAAGAAGCAGCTCTTCCTCTGTTAAAATTTTATCATGAGATTGCAGCAATTCGGTCACATCTTAAGGCTCCGCTTCTAACTCTGGTTTGCTTGCTATTTCAACCACATCTGCAGTTGCTTCCTACACTGAAGTCTTGAACCCTCAAGATCATTCATGAAAGGTTGGAATCAGCTTCTTCCAAGTTCCTGTTAATGTTGATTATTTTGACCTTATCCCATGAATCACAAATGTTCTTAATGGCATATGGAATGATGAATCCTTTCCAGAGGTTTTCAATTTACTTTGCCCAGATCCATCAGAGGAGTCACTCTCTATGGCAGCTTTAGCCTTATGAACTGTATTTCTTAAATACTAAAACTTAAAAGTCAAAATTACTCCTTGATCCATGGGCTACAGAATGGATGTTGTGTTTGAAGGCCTGAAAACAACATTAATCTTCTTATACATCTCCATCAGAGCTCTTGAGTTTCTAGGTGCATTGTCAGTGAGCAGTAGTATTTTGAAAGTAATCTTTTCTTATCAGTAGGTCTCAGCAGTAGACTTAAAATATTCTGTGAACCATGCTCTAAACAGATGTGCTGTCATCCAGACTTTGTTGTTTCATTATAGAGCATAAACAGAGTACATTTCGCATAATTCTTAAGGGCCCTAGGATTTTTTGGAATGGTGAATGAACTTATTGGCTTCAACTTAAAGTCACCAGCTGCATTAGCTCCTAACAGTAGAGTCAGCCTGTCTTTTTTTTTTTTTTTAGAGCTTTGAAGCCAGGCATTGACTTCTCTCTAGCAATGAAAGTCTTAGATGGCATCTTCTTCCAATGAAAGGCTATTTTATCTATATTGAAAATTTATTGTTTAGTGTAGCCATCTTCATTCATTATCTTAGCTATATCTTCTGGATAACTTGCTGCAACTTCTACATCAGCACTTGCTTCACCTTGCACTTTTATGTTATGGAGATGACTTCTTTCCTTAAACCTCATGAACTAACCTCTACTAGCTTCCAACTTTTCTTGTGCAGCTTCCTTACCTCTCTCAGTCTTCATAGAGTTGAAGAGAGTTAGGGCCTTGCTCCAAGTTAGGCCTTAGCTTAAGGAAATTATCTTCTATCCAGACCACTAAACTTTCTCCATATCAGCAGTAAGGCTGTTTTGGTTTCTTATCATTCATGTGTTCACTGGAGTGGCACTTTTAATTTCCTTCAAGAACCTTTCATTTGCATTCACAACTTGGCTAACTGTTTAGCACCAAGAGGCCTAGCTTCTTGAAACCCTATCTTAGCTTTCAACATGATCTTCAGTAAGCCTCATCGTTTCTAGTCTTTGATTTAAGGTGAGAGATGTGCAACTCTTCAACACTTCGAGACCACTATACAGTTTTTGATTGACCTTATTTCAATATTGTTGTGTCTTAGGGAATAGGGAGATTGGGGTGTAGGGGTATTGCTGGTCAGTGGAGCAGTCACAGCACACATTTTGTCAATTAAGTTCTCCATCTTCTATGGTCATGGTGTGTGGCACTCCAAAGCAATTACAATAGTAACATTAAAGATCACCATAACACATACAATAATGAAAAAGATTGAAATATTGTGAGAGTTACCAAAATGTCACACAGTGACAAGAAATGAGCACATGCTATTAGGAAAATGACTCCAGTAGACTTGCTCAGTGCAGGGTTGCCCCAAACCTTTAATTTATAAGAAACACAATATCTGTGAAGTGCAGTAAAGCACAATAAAACAAGTTATGCCTTCACATTTCTTTTAGATGCCCATGGAACATTCACCAAGGCAGACCATATGGTGGGCCATCAAGCCTCAGTAAATTTTCAAAAAATGAAATCACAAATCACACATCTGTGCTCTCAGACCACAATGGAAATTAAAATAGAAATCAATAATGTACCTAGAAAATCCCCAAATATTTGAAAATTAAACAACATACTTCTAAATAACCTGTGGTTTAAAGAAGCAATCACAAGGAAAATTTAAAAATACTTTGAGTTGTGAATAGGACAGCATGATAACTGTAGTTAATGATGATATATTCTTGAAAAAGGCAAAGATAGTACAGTTAAGTATTCTTGCTGCAAAAATAACTATGTGAAGTAATGAATTTATTAATTAGCTACATTTAACTATCCTACAATGTATATATACTTCGCAATCTCATGTTGTACACAATAAATACATAACAGTTGTATCTGTCAGTTTAAAACATAAATAAATAAATAACTTTGAACTGAATGATAATACTGCATCAAAGTCTGTGGGATACAACTCAAGCAATGCTGACAGAAAAATATGTATAACTTTCAACACTTATGTTAGAAAAAAGGAAGATAAAATCAGTGACCTAAGGTTCTACCTTAAAAAGTTGGGCAGGTGGAGGGTGGGTGGAGAATAAAGCAAGTCCAAAGTAAATATATGACAGAAAGCAAAAAAGATGGGAAAACTAGGGGTGGCATTGGTTGCACAAAAGTTGGACATGTGAATACCTCATAACCTAGCAGTTTCACTCCTTAGTATTTCCCTAAGAGGAATAAGACCAAATGTCTGTACAAGATTATTCATAGCAGCATTATTTGTAGTAATCCACACTGGACATATGATGCAAATGCCCATAAATATTAGAATGAATAAATAAATTTTGGTATATTCACAAATGGAATACTATGTAGCCATAAGGCTGAACTAACTATAGTTCTTCAGCTATAAGTGATAAACCAATATAGCTGTATCTTACAGTTAATTTAGTGGAATGAAAAAAAAAAGCAGATATGAGAGTATAGATTATATTATTCAATTCACACAAAGTTCAAAAGCCGGTGATATTTGTATGTGCTGGTTAAAAGCCAGTCAGTGTCCACCCTTAGTGGGGGATCATGAATGGAATTAAACCTAAGGAGGCTTCTGAGGAGTTAGAAATGTTTGGTATCTTGATCTGGGTACTGATTTCATGGATGTGTTCCATGTGGGAGAATTCATCAAGCTATACTTATGTTTGTATACTTTTCTACATATATGTTATACTTCAGTAAAAATGCCAAAAACCCCCATGGACAATATTTAGATGACATATTCCCATAAACTCCAAAACAAAAACAGGTAAGGGAAAATCACCCATAGCCACAAGATCCACAGGTTATTGACGTGTGTAGGAGAAAGCAGGAGTTAATAGGCCATCTGAAAGACCTGACAAACAGAATTCCAAAACAGCATATTCACTAAAAAGTGTGGCAGCCCAATTTAAGAACAGTAACTGTGGCCAGGCACGGTGGCTCAGCCTGTAATTCTAGTACTTTGGGAAGCCAAGGTGAGAGGATTGCCTGAGCCCAGGGATTCGACACCAGCCTGGGCAACTTGGTGAGACCTCGTCTCTACAATAAATCACAAAAACTAGCCAAGTGTGGTGGCATGCGTCTGTAGTTCCAGCTACTTGGAAGGCTAAGGTGGAGAGATCGCCTAAGCCCAGCAGGTTGAGGCTGTGGTGGCCGTAAGCATGCCACTGCACTCCAGCCTGGGCAACAAGAGTGAGACTCCAACTTAAAAAAAAAGAACAGTAGCTGAAAATGGGAGAGGTAAGTACAAGGGACCCATAGTCAGAAAGTCTGAAAGGGATCTGAAACTGAAGAAACTCTTGAAACTGATCCACCAGATTTCCCTTCCAGGACAGGGTCCCACACTGAGGAGAAATCCTGAGAGTCAGATTGAAATTAACCAGGACAGGAACAATAGAAGAAAGAAAGAAAAAGTCCACATTAAAGTGGGAGAGAGGACCAGAACTAGGAACTCTAATCAAGCAAATCATCATATTCCTTTAATCTACATCAAAACAGCAGAAAGGGAGCCTCTGTGAAATAGAAAAGCTACCCTGAACCATGCTTCTTTCTAAAAGTTTGGGAAAACTTGTGATTTCACGTAAAAATGAACAACAGATGATGATTGTTGTACTACTCTGAATATACAAAAAAAAAACACTGAGTTGTATTTTTTTTGTATTTTTTTTTTTTTTTTTTGCTTTGGAGTCTCACTCCGTTGCCCAGGCTGGAGTGCAGTGGCATGCTCACGGCCACCCCAGCATCGACCTGCTGGGCTCTGGTGCTCCTTCAGCCTCAGCCTTCCAAAGTAACCAGAACTACAGGTGTGAGCTATCATCCCTGGCTAATTTTTGATTTATTGTAGAGACGAGGTCTTGCCAAGTTACCTGGGCTGGTCTTGAACCCTCAGGCTCAGGCAATCCACGCACCTCGGCCTCCTAAAGTGCTGGGATTACAGCCTGAGCCACCAACCCCGGCCTGAATTGTACTTTTTTAAGTGGGTGAATTTTATGGTATGTGAAATATAGGTGGAAAAAATGAACAGAAAATTATCAAAGTCAAATCCAACACAAAATTATAAGGGAAAAAAGACTCAAAAAGCACCCCAGAAACACATGCTCAAAAAGCGGAACAAATCTGAAACATATTTAAAAGTGAATTGGAAGATATTCAAGAAATAACATAGGACATGAAAGAACAATGTAAAACAGTATTAGAAAACTCAAAAATGTGGCAACAACTTGGGGAAAATGAAAAAGAATCATTTCAGAAATGAAGGCTAAAGTAGAAGGAAACAAGAATGAGTGAACACAACAGAAAATGTCTTACTAATTTATACTGAATATTGACAATGATAGTAAAAAAGGAAAATGTCTTACTCTGATCAAAAGAAGGAAAATTTGTGAAATTAAAAGAAACAGAGATAAACAATTTGAGAATAAGTGACAGATATTAAAGAAAACCTGACATATGGATAATGGGATTATCTGAAGAAGAAAACCAAAGCAAGGGAAAAGAATAAATGCTGAAAGCTAATATTAAGGAAACATTCCTGGAATCTAAAAAAGGGAACTCCTCTTGGTGTTGAGTGTGACACAGCCCACAGCAGACATGGCAGCACTGTGTTCCAGGGCACAGGTGCTCGGAGTAACTGTGGAACTGGGATCCCAGGCTCAGTGTCTTGTTGAACTACTACAGCACCTGTGACGTGGGCACAGGTTCACGCTCATAGGCACAGTGGGTGCAACTCTCCCATTAAATTCAGCACTGTGACTCTGAGGTACTCCCCAGTAGCTTGGGCCCAGGGACAAGGGTGTAGCTGTGATTCTGATCCTTAGGGTCATGGCTCTGGGGAAGAAGGGGTGTTTCAGAGGCTCAGGCCCCAGGGAGCAGGGCACAGTGGCAATTCGGGCACCAGGAGAGAGATTACTGCATAGTGGTGACTCTGGACCCTGAAGTCACAGTGACATAGCAGTAGCCCAGGCTCTGTGAGACCAGCTGCAGTGGCAGCAAAAACCCAGGAATGGTGAAGCACAACTGTTGCTTGGGCTCCAGGGGTGCAGGGAGCAGGGCAGTGTTGAGTTCACTCCCCAGGGAGGTGGAGCATCTCAGCAACCCAGACTCCAGAGGACTGATCCAGATCAGGAAGGTGGGGTGCTGCAGCTGTTCAGCCCAGAGAGCATGGTGTACAGATGAGCTAAGGCTATGTTTCCCTGGGAAGGCCGAGGGCCATGCTTCACACAGGTTAGAGCACCATGATCACAGCTGCTCTCCTGAGCCAAAGTTCAATTCCTTTGTTCAGGCACCAGGAGGGTGTGGCTGCTCCCTCATCCCAGATGTGGCTTCTGCTAAGCCTAAGTGCCTAGTCCTGGACCAGCATGGACTCAGGTACCATGGTCACTTGATAAGAAAAATCACACCATGTACCTGAGAATTTTGACCCAGAATGACCAACAAAACACATTCTAATAAAATTACTAGACTTTAAAGAAAAATGCCACGGGCATCTCAGCAAAAACAGCAGGTAATATATGAGAGATTGCCCTCAAACTTTTCAACACCCTTACTTTGTGCCAGAATAAAAGAGAGTAGATGATATTTAAGACACTCAAAGGGAAAAACTGTGAGGCAAGGACATTACATCATGTAAAACTGACTTTCAAGTATAAAGGGTACAAACATTTATCAACATGGAGGAATTCAGGAAATATTCTTCCCATGATCCCTTCCTGAGGATTTTGCTCGAGAATGAGCTTCAGAATACCAAAATGATGAGCGAGACATTGACATAAGGACTGGTAGTGAGCATTAAATGTAATAATGAGAAAAATAGGCAACACTATGTTGAGGGATATCTTGCAAAGTACCTGGTAAGTATGAGAGGAGACCCAAAAATCGCTGGAATGTATTTATTTTAAAATATGTATTCTTACATATGTAAACTTCAGTCACCTTTAAAGTACTCTCCATTTGAGGTGATACACCATTGAGATGCTTTTCCACTGCTCAAAACAGTTTTTGAACTCGTCGATTTTGATGCCTTTTTGTTTCACCTCTTTCACATCAGCAAAATGTTTCTCTTTGAGGACTTTTTTTCATCAGGGAAACAAAACAGTCGCTCAGGGCACGATCTGGTGAATAGGGAGGGTATGGCACAGGGGTCATGCCGTTTTTGGCCAAAAACTGCTGAATACTCAGCGTGGTGTGGGCAGGTGCATTGTCATGGTAGAACAACCAGTCATAATTCAGGATGTTTCTTCCACAAATTGTGAGACTTACAGATAAAAACTTTGGTTGACCATTTGATCCAGAGGAACAAATTCCAAGTATACTACAAGGAGCCTGCCCTCCAAAAGATAATTCCAGTTTTGGGGGCTCTCCCTCGTACTCCTCAAAACTGTTCAGTTTATCAAAAAACAAGTCTGAGAAACAGTTACAGGCCAGAGGAGACTAAAGAGACAGATGACTAAATGTCTTATGGTATCCTGGATGGGATCCTGGAACCGAAAAAGGACATTGGGGGAAATCTAAATAAAGTATGGTCTTAAGTTGTTAATATTTCAATGTTGGTTGATTAGTTGTGACACATAAACCATACTAACGTAAGATGTTAACAGTAGAGGAAACAATGTGGATATGTGGGAACTCTACTATCTTCTCAGTTTTTCTGTAAATCTAAAATTTCTACAATTAAAAAGTTTATGTAAATTTTTAAAAATTGCAAATGGTTGAAACTCATCGAATATGTTTAAATCCATGAGTTCATAATTATATTTTAAGACAAAAATTAATTATCTAACTTCAGAGTATGATAAGGAACCCATTTATTTTCCTGAGAAGTGGTAAAGGGAAAGTATCAAGTACTTATATTATCTTTTTTGCTGGGTAATTGAATAATAGCTGATGAGGGGAAGCCTCTTTTTATGCATGTATTCCAGTTAATAAAAAAGAAATGTTGGTTGGATGTGGTGGCTCAAGCGTGTAATCCCAGCACTTTTGGAGGCCGAGGCAAGAGGATTGCCTGAGCCCAGAGGTTCATGGCCAGCCTGGGCAACTTGGTGAGACTTCGTCTCTACAATATGTCAAAAAAATTAACCGGGTGTAGTAGCACGTGCCTGTAGCTCCGGCTACTTGGAAGGCTGAGGCGGAAGGATCATGTGAGCCCAGCAGGTCGACTCTGGGGTGGCCTAGAGCCTGCCACTGCACTCCAGCCTGGGCGACAGAGTGAGACTCTGACCCGAAAAAAAAAATGTTAACATTAAGAATATTGCATTTTTTAAACCCCCAGTAAATTAATGGATCCCAGCATTGAGCATCAACAGCTCATGACATCATAGCAGATGAAGGAACACAGCACCACCTATAATCATGCTGAAGGGATCAAATCTGAGTCAGATCAAGCCTCAATATCCAGTTGCCAATCTGCAGGAAATGCAAAAGGACATGTTAGACTGCATCTTGAGTATGCAATCAGCAAAATCCAGGCTTTGGGAAACTACAGGTCAAATGCCCCAGCTTCTTCAGTAGAAAACTTGTAAGGAAAGAAAGGCATGGAGGGGGGACCTGTAGATTTTAAAAGATATCAAAATATTTTTAAGTAGGCAAGGCTAACCTCAAAAACTTGCTAAGTGAAAGAAGACAGGCACAAAAGACCACATTTACATGAAATGTCCAGAATAGGCAACTCTATAGAGATAGAAAGTAAATTAGTAGTTCCATGGGTTGGGGGAAGGGAGGGAATGGGAATTAACTGTAAATGAGCACAAGGACCTTTGGGGGGAGTTATAGAATTTTGAAAATTGGATTGTGATGGTTGTGCAACAGTATAAAAATAAACATTGATTAAATAAAATGAATGTACAAATGGGCAACTATGGTATCTAGTGATGCACACTTGGGTAATAAGGCTGTAATAAAGTCTAGGAAGTTATTACTGTAAAAAAGGGTATTGTGGTTACTTTTGCAGGGGAAGATGAGTTGTGGTTTGTATGATGCACACAGAGAGGTAAAGGAGATCTATTGCTATAAGACCAGCTTATAAAAATTTGTTTTTATATATGTATAACAAGTTTCTGTATAAATAAATATATATATAACTTCTCAGACTTTTGGCTAAGATCAAGTGTAGTATCTGTTCTTATCAGTTTAATAAATATATATGTGTGTTTGTGTGGTTTCTGCTATCTTTTATAATAAAGGGTTAACACCAGACTGTTAAGCTGTTAGAAAAGATCAGATCCCCATATACTTTGTTCTTCATCATAGTAAATGAGACTATTTCTCATGGGAAAACCCAGGGTAGCCGGGAAAATGCTGCTTTACCTCACATAGGAAAAAAAAAAACAACGCAAAAGATAGATGTAGCATTTGGTTTAATTTCTTTGGGATGTACACAGCATGGTAAGTGCCATTTGGACATCAGAGCCTGTTTCAGTCACGTGTAAAATAATACATGGTTATTCTTTTCTGGTAGATCAAACTGTCCTGTGCTTTTCAATTTTTCACACACAAAATTGTATAATGATAATAAAGAAAATGAATGGAGAAGGAAAAGTCACCTGCAGTCCCACCCCCTGGCAATCCACAAATCATAAATATTTTTTGACTTTAGTGTTTTTGGATTGCTGGGATTTCCTGATGGTGGTGGTGGTAGTATTTTTTTTTTTTTTAGGGGTGGGGGAGTGTTGGCCATTTTGGCAGTAATCATTTTCCAAAATAGAATTCATTGTAAGGGGCCCCTTTTATGTTTTTGTCTTCCTGTGGAAATCACTCAAAACATCCTTCCTTACTATTTTTTAACATGTGCTATATCAAGTAATATGAGTACTCTCCTCACTTCCACTGGGCCCAGGCCAGGCAGCTAGCTACATTCCTGTTCTCGTTGTATGTGGTTATGTTCGATGGAGCTGAGGCCTCTAACATCGCTTGCTAACATTCCCTCAATCTCTCCCCTCCCTTTCTCATTTTTCCACTTTAGAGGAGTTCAAAAAAGCAGCTCAGCAACAGGAAGATCAAGAACAAAAGGAAGAAGAGGATGATGAGCAAGCACTCCACAGAGCTCGGGAGTGGGATGATTGGAAGGACACCCATCCTCGGGGATATGGCAACAGACAGAACATGGGCTAATCGTCCCGTTATACAGCAGGACTACAGGGTGCACGCCTTCCCTGCCAAGGAAAACCATGCAGTCTTCCCCTCCCTGGACTCCTGCCTTAGCTATGTATGATGAAGGCAAAGATGTTAAATCATGCTTTGCGCTCAATCAAGTGTCAAATGATTAAGTGTGTATTTGTACCCTAGATGATAAGCCAGTAATCTTGTTTTGGCATTATCATCCTCATCATGGTGTATTCTAATTTCTTAAGTGGAAAGAAAAGAACACTGAGACATGGCTCTGTATAATTAATGACTGTATGAATTCTCTTTAAAAAATAATAAAAGCCCCTTCTATTACATGAGCCTGTGCAAGAAATATGGCTATTGGCTATTTGTTTGTTTTTTTGAGTTGGAGTCTCACTCTGTCGCCCAGACTGGAGTGCAGTAGCGGCTCCCGGCCACCGCAGCCTCGACCTGCTGGGCTCTGGCGATCCTTCCGCCTCAGCCTTCCGAGTAGCTGGAATTACAGGCGTGCGCTAACCACGCCCGGCTGATTTTTTTTTTTTTTTGATTTATTGTAGAGATGAGGTCTTGCCTGCCCAGGCGGGTCTCGAACCCGCGGGCTCAGGCAATCCACTCACCTCAGCCTCCCCAAGGCGCGGGATTACAGGCTGAGCCACCGAGCCTGTCTTGTTTGTTTTTTGAGTGGAGAGCAGAGGCATTTAGCTGGGGTTCTTGGGGCTTATGGGGAGATACCAATTATCTCTCTTTGATCTGTCAGAGCTGCCGAGGCTTTCTCCTTCCTAGTGGGCATATCGTGTGAAGTTGTATACGGAGCGACACCTCATACCATGAAATAACCCAGAACTCTACAAGGGGAGATCACAAATGCCAGAACTCTCCCTGCCACACAACACTATTTTCAGGAATTACAGCTATAGGTGAATGGATCATACAGGGTTTGAGTCTGTTTCCTAGTCTTGTCTATCCAGTCCTCTTTGCCTTGGCCAGGAGAAATGAGGCCAGCAACATGTTCTAAGAGTCATCCTTGTGTGTGTATCTGAGGCCAGGGTTTTTACTCCCATGAAAACATTTGCCACAACCATTAGGGTGAAGACCAGCCTCAGCCTCAGCCTAGCTCTTAAATTGGCCTTCCTAGTCTATGCTGTGCAATACTTAGCACAATTTGAACTGGTGGACTAGGTAAACATGCTGTGGTGGTTGGTTGGTTAACTACTTAGTGAATTGCCTGCAATCACACAGGTAACTGGGTTTGGAGGAGGGAGACAGCACAGATGACATCGTAAGATACCTACTTTCTGGTCTGGGGTACAGAAAAAACAATGTCCTCAGCTCTTGGATTGGCATCCTATAAAAGTAGCCACGTGTTGAACCAAATGATCTGCATAGAAAACACTTTTGTTCTGTGTCTTTGGTACAGAGGTTTTCTTTTAAGAGGAAAATGACCCAGTCTTCCGATTCTAGCTTCTGCAGTGTAGCTTAGGAGAGGGGTTTGCGAAGGAGACTCAGTTCCTTCTTGTTTATAGGGTGATATGAGAAGGGCTGTCAGGCGATGAGGAGGAGGTTGTGTTTCGTGGGGGATGACAAAAGACTCCCAATAATCTATTTGTATACTGCTTAATAAAGGAGTTATCTCACCCTCACAACATAAGTTCCTGAAACTGGGAGAGCTCAGATTAAATCCCCCAAGGATCTGGGAAGCATGCAACATTTTCAGTCTTTTCCTATTGTTGCCAGGCTGCTTCTAGCAATGGCCTACTTCCTGCTCTTGAAACTCCACCCTGAGTTCATTCTGTCAGGTTGGGTGACCTCCTTAATCTAAGTTCATTTAAGATTGGTCCTTCCAGAAGGTCCAGCTCAATTAAGCCCCCTCACACAATCTAATATCTAAGAAGTTTGAATCTTGGTTTTAGAAATTGCAGGTTGTGTGACCTTGGCAATAAAACTTCTCTGAACTGCTTTGTCCTCCGTGTATGTAGTAGATAAGCCCTCTCCTGGGCTGTGAGAATTAAATGAATAATGGCAGCTGTTATAACAAGCTCAGGCACCTGAAGAATACATGCTCTTTGTTGGCTGAATGACTGCAGTCTGTCCACACCGAAGAGCAAGGAAATGGACAAAGGGGAAAGGTTTTGGGCCCCTAGTATGTGCCAGGCACCGTTCCATACTGTTAATACAATGACCCTGCAAAGCTTGATTTCTTCAAGTCCGCAGTAGCCAGAGGTGTTACGTTGCTGTCATTTTCCCTGTGCTTCCCAAGGCTGTGCTTTTCGTTGTGTCTTAAAGCTGCTGAAAAGAGGAAGCAGCTTTGCAAAGCCAAAAGAAAACCATCACTTCAACATCCTTGGAGCTCTAGAAATTCCTCTTAACTGACTCACCAAAGAAAAGATTATGTCAGCCCCTCCTCCAACCCCCTCAGCTGGGGGATGAGGAGACGCAGGCGGCGAGCGGACGCACCCTCCTCCACTTCCTCCCCGCGCGGTCTGCCCGACAGAGAACCCGAAAAAGCACCACCTTCTCTACTCCCACCAGAGGCTAGGCCTCTCGGGGTCCTAGAGGGAGCTGGGTTTGGCAAACTCCCGGAAACGAGAACTTAGAGCTCCCAACGTTAAAACGACTTCATGGTTTGCAAAATGCTTTCACATACGCTGCTTATTTCATTCTCACAGCCTTAATTTTTCACAGTAGAAGCTGGTTCTGAGAGATGAAGTCAGTGATTGACTTCAGTCACGGCTAAAAATCGGTGGGAACTAACAGATCAGTTTAACCAATGCGTTTGCCAGCTGTGGCTCTCACGTGGAAGCCAATTAGACTTGGAGAAGGTAAGTGCCTGGCACTAGTTTGTTTGTTTGTTTGTTTATAGGTGGGGGGTGGGAGAGAGTCTCACTATGTTGCCCAGGCTGGCCTCAAGTGATCCTCCCACCTCAGCTTCCCAATGTGCTGGGATTACAGGTACGAGCCACCACGCCTGGCCGTCACTAGTTCTTTTAGTGCCATTACAAACTGATATGTCCTTTCCACTCTTGTTCCCCTTAACACTCTCGTGAGAAAGACGGGGTAAGGAGTTGGACATGAGCTGATTTCAAGCCCAAGAAGTTAGAGCTATAGAGTCCTGGTTAAAGTCTCCATTCTCGGGGTTCTGCCACTCCCAAGCTGGGTGACCCCAGGTGAAGCCTTCTGTGCTTTAAAACAACTTGAAAAGGGGGAAACTTGGGAAACTACAACCACCTCTCTGTGTCATCCAAACCCCAAAAAGTCCTCCTCCACTTGCTCTGGGCCTCCGGTTTTTTCATCAGCGCCACAGACACATCGTCACCCAATTCTTTTGGGCACCCTACATCAATAGGGTATTGTTACCACTGTCTCCTTGCAAAATAGCTCTCCCCAGCACCTGCACATCATTTCCTCACAGGTTCCTTTTAACCCACTCATCCAAGGTGCAACTCAACTGGGCACACACAGTTCACTCATGTTTCCTTACAAGAAACCATGGGTTCTAGTCTCAGCTCTGCCACTATCTTAGCCCCTCCAAGATGTAGTCAATATCTGCCCTACTAACCTCACAGGCCAGAATGGGGAGCAAATGAAAACAAATACTCAAAAACACTTTGAACAATTATAAAGCACGACCCAAGAATAAGGAGTGAGAGTAGTAAGCTTTTGGTAAGCTAGAGGCATGGAGAAGGGGATGCTCTGTTTTTTCAGTGCAGGGTTTCGCAACTTTATTTTAACCCTGCCCCTCCCATGCTTTCGCAATCTATCTTGTAGACATCACCACCAGCCAAAGGTTTATGACATAATTTTCTTTGTGTGCTGAAACAACCAGCAAAGGAGAGAAGTATGTACAGTGGAAACTGAGAACTGGTTTCTACATCTCTATCTGCTAGGTATACATGTGTAAAATATGTTGACGGCCAGGCTCGGTGGCTCAGCCTGTAATACCAGCGCTTTGGGAGGCCGAGGTGAGCGGATCGCCCGAGCCCGCGGGTTCAAGATCCGCCTGGGCAGCGAGACCTCATCTCTACAATAAATAAAAAAATCAGCCGGGCGGTAGCGTGCGCCTGTAATTCCGGCTACTCGGAAGGCTGAGGCAGAAGGATCGCCGGAGCCCAGCAGGTCGAGGCTGCGGTGGCCGGGAGCGGCCACTGCACTCCAGTCTGGGCGACAGAGTGAGACTCCAACTCAAAAAAAAAAAAAATGATGACAAAGGTACGTGAAAGGATGATGGGCAAAGTCTTCAGTCTCAGTGTATTGTTTCAGCTGGCAACAAATCCCTCAAAGAGAGAACTGAGCAATGTCTTAGGCCAGCCTAAGCTAGTAAAATACCAGGAATCAAAATAATAGCTACCATGTATTAGGCACCTACTATATACTAGGAGATTTACATATAATATTTCTAATCCTCACAACAGCCCAAGGTAGATATTATTATAGCCTCAGTTTGTAGAGGAAATTGAAGTTGAGAAGTGATTTCCAAAGACCACTAAGCTCTAAGTGGTTGAGCTGGGCCTGGATTCCAGGTTGGCCCGAGGACATACAGGGAATAATTCCTGGTGGCACACTGCTTTGAGGATAACCTCTCTCCTTTCTCTGTCCAAGTTTCGAGCAACATCAGCATAGCCTGCTGGCCCCTTCAGAAGCACTTCTGAGACCTGCTCACTGAGGAAAATCCTCACCTCAGAAACCTGTTCCTCCTGGGACTCCATGTTCCTCATGCAGATGAACATCCCTGCACTCAATGCCAAGCCCACCTGCTCTCCCCATCCAGCCCTAGCTGGGCTTTGTTCGAATAAATCTTTTAAACAGCCTCTCACTCAGGAGTTCCTACATATTTTCTTTCTTTGATTTTTTTTAAAAATGGGGTCTCACTCTGTCGCCCAGGCCAGAGTGCAGTGGTGTGATCATAGCTCACTGCAGGCGATCCTCCAACCTCAGACTCTCGAGTTGCTGGGACTACAGGCACATCCTACCACACCCGTTTTGGGGTTTTTTTTTTCATTTTTTATTTAGAGATGGAGTCTCACTATGTTGCTCAGGCTGATCTCTAACTCCTGGGCTCAAGTGATCCTCCCACCTCAGCCTTCCGAGTAGCTGGGATTACACACCCAGTTCATACATATTTTCTAAGCCAAAGCACCCATTCATCTACCAGGCCTTCTAGGACAACTAAGACCAGACCCAGGCCATGAGTGCATGGGGTTTGGAGAACAGGAGCTGGGAGAAAGAATATCTGCGTGAACTCTGAGGCCTTTCAACATTCAGCAACAGATACAGCCTCTGCTATCCTGTTGTCCTTGGTCCTGGCTCAGAGGGACTGAGAGATTTGCAGAAAGACTTCCTCATCAGCTTTATTTA